CCGGGGGACATAACAGACACCTGCGAGCGCAGGAGAGTGCCCGAGCTCTAAGGGCGCAGCGCGCAGGAGGGACCGATCGGAGCAGCTCGGAGGGGGCTCGGGCGGCGGGCTCCGCGGGAGGGGGTGCGGGGCAGGTGAGGCGTAGTCCAACAGCGCAGGCCCCGGAGCACAGGGCGCCGGAGACACACAGCCAGGATCCGGCTGCCCCCGGGACAGGCAGAGGCCGGGAGGGCCAGGCAGTAAGGGACGCTCCGGCCGGAGCTGAGCAGATCAGCGGCCCCGCCCCGGAGCCTCAGGCCTTGCAGACGGAGAACGAGAGCCCGAGCCCGTTCGGAGTTCTGCGGAGGCTGAATCCAGTTCAGAGTTGATAGCAACTGCTGCTGTTCCTCCTGGGGCCCCACGGGGTAAAACAACCCCGTGAGCCCTGCAGAGGCAGGGCAGAGCAGCCTCCCCCAAGTGCTAACACCTGAAATCAGCACAGCAGGCCCCTCCCCCTGAAAAAGAAAAACAGTGGAGGAAGTGATACTCCCCCGTGTTCCAATACAACTTGTTTTGGCCACTCTGCATGAGCAAAATGATAAAGGAAACCTCACATCAAAAAGAAAGAATCAGAAACAAGCCTTTCCACAGAGTTACAAAATCTGGTTACACTTCAAATGCAGAATGCCATTTCAGAAGCACTATTCTAGTACTGGTGGCTCTAGAAAAAAATGCATTAAGGATCTGAGACTTCATGACTGCAGAATTTTAGATCCAATCAGGCAGAAATTAAAAATCATTGAATGAGAGCAATCCAAGACTAGAAGTCCTTACGACGAGGTGAACGAGAGATGAACGATGTGAGTGAATAGAAGGACAAGTTAATGGCAAAGAGGGAAACTGAGGAAAAAAGAGACACCTCAATTAAGGGACCATGAAGGACAGATTAGGCCAATAATGACAGTTGAGGAAAGAAAAACTAGTTTAATTGGGGTTCCGGAGGGCGCCGGAAAGGGACAGAGGGCTTAATATGTATGTATGAACAAATACTAGTGAAAACTTTCCCAATCTGGAGGGAAACAGCATTCTGATCCAGGAAATAGAGAGTCCCCCCTAACATCAATAAAACCGTTCAACACCTCGGACATCTAATAGTGAAAGCTTGCAAATTCCAAAGATAAAGAGAGACGGACGGATCCTTAAGCAGCAAGATACCAAGAAGTCCCTGACTTCATGGGGAGGAATTTTAGTGGTAACAGCAGACCTTCTCAGAGACCTGGCAGGACAGAAGGGAGCGGATATATTCAGGGTCTAATTGAGAAGAACATGACAACCAAGAATACTTTATCCAGCAAGGTTCATTCAAAAGGGTCAGGAGAGATCAGCGCTTCAAGACAGGCAGGACCTTGAAAGAATATGTGACCTCCAAAACCAGCTCTGCAAGAAATTTTAAAGGGGGACTCTTTTAAAACTCCCTTTAAGAAGAAGTTCAAGTAACTCTGAACGTGAATGAATAATGACCCCATCAAAAGGCGCCAGAGTTTCAGACTGGATTAAAAAACAGGACCATTATTTGCTGTCTACAAGAGACTCTTTTTAGACAGAAGGACACCTACACTGAAATAAAGGTTGGAGAACATTTACCATTAAATGGTTCTCAAAATATACCCTAAAAACTACAGAACACTTCTGAAGGAAAATTGAGGAAGACTAAAGAGATGGAAAAATATTCCATGCTCATGTTGAATGGAGAACAGAATTAATATTGTGAAAAGTCAATGTTACCCAGGGCAGATTTTCAGTATAATGCAATCCTATCAAAAATACCATGGATTTTTAGAGACTTAGAAAAATTATCTTAAGATTGGGTGTGTGGAATAGAAAAGATCCAAACAAGCCAGGGAATTTTAAAAAAAGAAAACCATATATGGGGGATCACAAAATGCAATGATTTCAGGTGTGTACTACAAAGCTGTGATTTTTCAAGACAGTGTTGGTACTGGCACAAAAAAGCAGAATATAGATCAATGGAACAGAAAGAGAACCAGAAGTGGACCTGAACTTTATGCTCATAATATACGATAAGGAGAAAGACGATCCACTGGAAGAAAGACACTTCTTCAATAAATGGTGCTGGGAAATTGGACATCCACATGAGCAGAATGAAATGGACCACTTTGCACATACACAAGATAAACTCAAATAGATGAAAGATCTAAATTGAGAAATATTCCATCAAAAATCCAGAGGAGAAATCAGGCAACACCCTTTTTGAAATTGGGCCACCAGTAACCGACCCAGTGGAGAGGAAAAAAACAGTGTATGTATCATTCATTTGGGATTATGAATAATAGCGAAAGGGAATAAAGGGAAAGGGAGAAGAAATGTGTGAGAAATATCAGAATAGGGAGAAGAAACTTAAAAGACTTCTAACTTGGGAAATGAACTAGGGGTGCTGGAGGGGAGGAAGGGTGGGGGGTGGGGGTGAATGGGTGATGAGGCATGAGGGGTAACTTGACGGGTATGGCACTGGGTGTTATTTGTATGTTGGTAAATTGAAACAACAATAAAAATTAATTTATACAAAAAAATGCATGAGATAATAAAGGGATAAGAATCAGTAAATGTTTAGAGTTATTTAAAGCATATCACTTTGTGGCAAACAGAGAATAATAATAATAAAAGAACATATTTAGAGTCAAAGAGAACTGAACCGCTGTGTAATTTCTGGTATGTTACTTACCTTCTCTGAATTTTCCTTTGGTTATCATGAGAATTTTGTAAAAATATGTGTATAGACCACTTTCTTTGGTCTCATTGGTATGCAGGAATGAATGAGGTCAAATTACAGTGTATTTCACTAGCTCTTGCCCCCACCTGCTTGCTCCTTACAGCCTCTGTTCTTTATGGTGGCAGGGGTGCCATCTGCTCCTCTATCTTCCCTGGTTCACTTGCATCTAAGCAAGGATATCAAACTTCCTCTGACCAGTGGCTTGTGAGCAGAAATGACATGTTTCTTGTGACCACCTAACTTCTCCTGACTAATACTCTCATCTTTTTGCCTACAAACTTTCTGGAAGTAATAGTGAATTTCTAAGAGTGCTAATGAACATATCCAATCAGTTATCATGGGACATCCAACAGATCCCTCTGCTACTTCTAAAGCATCTACTACATGTCACCAGAGGGCTATTGTCACTTGCTGTGCACTTCTCCCTCGATGTGCTAAAACTATTCGTTGGATTATGCTAAGTAGGGGCATGCCTCTTTTCCCAATTCACATTACCCTGTACAGAGGACTACCAACATTTTGCTGAGCTTTAGTGGAAATGCTCTTACTGTGCATACTCTACTGTACTCTCACCTGGCTCTCTCCCCTGACCCAGAAAGGGTCCATGGGCAAGACAGAAATCTAAGTGACACAGGAGTCTCTTGAGGTGTGAGTAAACTCAGAATCTCTCCCCTCTCCTCTTTTTGATAACCAAGCCTGGTGTTGGGTTCGGCACATAACATCTGGCTCTGTCTTCCCTTAGGATAAGTTGTTTTCCAGGAGGATCTTCAGCACCTTCATGAAAATAGATTTGCCTGAATCTATTCAGAACAGCTGCACTACATAAGTGGATGCTCTTAGTTTCAAGCTGAGCTATCCACTCACGCACATAGAGTGTTATGTGTGTAAAATAGCCATCGGAACACCAGGAATCGACGTACAAGAAATGGCCATGTGGCAGTGGTGCGGACAGTCACAGGTAATATAGCTTGGGTGGTAAATTTCTTTTTCTTATTTCCAAGATTTAGAAGCTCATTTTCCTCCTCCTTACCTTCCTTACTTCTTTCTCGTTCTTTTGTTTCATTATTGTCAGGGAGTTTGATTCACTTTATTTTTCTGCAGAAAAATGTAGCTCTTCCTGGCTGCTAGGTTGGATTTATTTTTATATCTGATAAGAATCAGGTCAAAGAAGATGGTCTCAGAATGTCTCATATCCGGACCAACTCACCCACTAAGATTTTAAACTTTGTTCTTTTAAAATGTTGATAAACACAAGATCAGGGCGTTTTCTTTCAGTTTTCATCAGATCTGAATCTTTAGATTTTTTTGAATTCCATGAATCAGGGGAACTTCCCAAGAAAAATGGGAGCTTTTGAGGCTACAGGGATTTTAAAAAGATTTTGATCTTTCTTTCAACATACCCTTTAAGGAATTTGATGTGTGGAAGCTTCACTTAGTTGACTTATTACTATTAAGGTGAATTGTTTCATTTCATTTAGACAATCCAAAAGGGAATTTTTTCTGCCACTTTTAAGAGATAAAAATCTAAAAGCAATTTGTCCCAGTATAATAAGGAATTGGGTGTTACTTTTTCCTGTTTTAAGAGAATAAACAACTCCATTCACAAACTGCCATTCAATTAAACTGTTAATATCAATGGAATTTGAAACTGAGTAATAATAATAGTGATATAATGTTACTTTTCCTGACACTTTTTGAACTACTTTCTTGATTGGAAGTTTCATTGCAAAATGAAAGCCTAAAGAATAAACTTTTTTAAAAAGAAGAAAATTTATTTAACCAGAATGCCTTATGTGTAAAAAAAAGAAGCTGAAGCCCAGAGAGTTTACATTATTTACACAAAGTTAGTTGATGAAAACCCTAATTGCCTAGTTTCTATTCACTAGTACAAAAAATAGTTGTTTAAAATAGGCATAGATTTATGTTGTAAACATTTATATTCAGGCAACATGTAGCAGGAAATTTGCAAACATTGCACATATGGTGTGAATATATACCAAGCCTAGGCCACCTTTTTTTTTTTTTGTCACATTGTTGTTAGAGTGGCAATAATTCCTTCCTCTTGATAAAGATGAGTTACGAAAGGGAAAGAGGTAAGAGTTGTAAGATAAGAACAATGTCAAAGCTTGCATTTAGGACAGAAGTGCTAGGAAGCTGTTCAAACATGAAGATGCTGTCCTATTTTTAGAGACTCCCAAGGACACATGATGTTGACTTTATGGCTTCAGTGCTTCACACCACCCAATGAAGAACATTCACAATTCTTTCTGACTTTATGGCTGCAAGTTGCACTTTTTACAGCAGCAGAAGCATCAGCCTCCTTACCAAATGTGGATATTCAATTGAAACCTGAAATCATCCTAGACCAAGGTAAGAAACAAGCTTTAATGAGAAAAGGGGAATGTTACAATTACCATAGCAAGAGTGATGCCATTTATTTGAGGACAGTGTTCTGTAGGGATAGAGAATCATAAATTTTCCCCCTTGTTTTCTCCTCCCCTAACTGCATTGGCATTTCCTGAGCAGCCAATAAACACTCTTATTTATGGAATGCTGTGTCAGACATCTTTTGTGCACTATTTCAGATCCTCCAGCCTCACCTCTCATTCCAGCCACCCCTATGGCCACCTGTCCAAGGTCTGCTTCAGCCAATTCAGCGCAGGAGCAAACTTTCTCCCTGTGTGCCTCTCACTACCTGCCTTGTTTCTCTGCCAACTTCAGGTAGGAACACCTATGGAAACCTGCTCAATTCTTATATCAGTCAGGGTTCAATCAGAGGAGAACCATCAGGAAGTTTTATAGACATTTCCATTTGTTATAAGGATTTGACCTTATACAAGGAATTGACCATATGGATGCTGTAAGGCTGTTATTCTCCTATCAGGGGTAATATTTTACTGTGTCTTTCTTCCTCATTAATCTGTAAGTTCAACAAAGGCAAGATCTTCACCATGTTTTTGATATATTCATTAATGCATCTTCACCACTGAGAAAGCTGCCTGATAAATAAATACTTGTTAACTAAATGCTTTAAAATGTGTGAATTGATAAACTGGTCTGAAGATCACAACTTGAGGCAGAAATAAGCCCTACTTTAAAAAGGGTATATGGTCAACCCCTGAACAATGCAGGGGTTAGGGACGTTGATCTGGTCGAGTCAAAAATCCATGCAAAACTTTTGATTGCCCCAAAACTTAACTACTAATAGCCAACTGTTGACCAGAGCCTTCCTGATAACATAAACAGCTGATTAACATATTTTCTGTTATATGTATTATATAATGTATTCTTACAAGAAAGTAAGCTAGAGAAAATAGTTATGAAGAAAATCATAAGGAAAATACATTTATAGTACTGTATTGTAAAAAAAATTCATGTATAAGTTCAAACCCATGTTATTCAAGGGTCAACTATATACAGAGGTTCTCCAAGGGAAAACTGGAACTGTTCCCCCTTACCATTTTTAGAAGCAATCTGGAAAAAGAGAACAGAGAGCAATTTTCTGGATTCTCAGAAGACATGTAACTCTTCCTCAGAAATTGAAAACCAATGGAAATAAATAATATGAAAGTTTTAATGCTGCATATGCAAGAAAATCAGCACAATTTTTCCACATGGACAAATGCCAGATAGTACAACAGAGAAAAACATTGCAAACATAAAGTTTCACTGGCCATTAAAGAGGGAACAAAAGTTGGTATAGATTCAGTGAACAATGTATTATTCTAGCGTACTGTTCTATGAGAAAGGCAAACCCAATGCTAAACTTAGGAAGGAAGTTGGAAACCATAATGTTGTTGGTAAGCTACTTGAATTGTTTTGCTTTCTCTTTGGAACAAAAGCTTAGTCATGGAGTCATGGTCTGTTTGGCATTATTCTGGTACCTTGTGGTACATTCAGCAGGTATGTAGAACCAGAGACATATGCTTGACCAGAGGATACATCCTCAGATGTGGTCAGATCTGATTATTCCAGTCTCCCATGTACATGCTGGCTCACCCTCTCTTGATGATGGTGCCTATATGTTACCTAATTTATAATGTATTTGAAGCAAATTTTCATTGATTTATGGTGGCTCAGGAATAGTTTTCTGTATCAAATATAAATTTGGTGTTTGGGGATAGGCATGGTGACTGCTGAGAATTTCCTAGATGGTGAAGGAGAAGGAAGAGAAAGGAGGAGGATGAGGAGGAAGATGAGGAGGGAGTTGAGGAGAAAGAGGAGAAATTTTATATTTATTGTGCTCTTTTTAGGTGTCAGGAGCTATGCTAAAAATGTGACTTTTATTGTTCGGTGATGTTCTCTACAAGGCATCTATGTGATGATATCCAGTTTACAGATGAGGAGGCAAAGCTTAGACAGCTGCAGAAACTTACTTAAGGTGAGACAGTAATAATTATGGAACAGAGACTCAAACACAAGTAGTCTGTTTTCAAAACCTGTTCTCTTAAACATTCATCTTGTCAATATTGAAAGTTCAAAAATTAAGCAAAAATATAGATTGATATAACAAACACCGAAAACAAACATGCATTAATTCATTGTTTTTGAAAAATCTTAGACCACTCTTTTTTTTAAAAGACTTTATTTATTTATTTGGGAGATAGAGAATGAGTAGGAGATGGAGAGCAGAGAGAGAGAGAGAGAGAGAGAGAATGAGAGAGAGAGAGAGTGAGAAGTAGACTCTCCACTGAGCAGGAACCCCGATGTGGGGTTCCATCCCAGGACTTGGAGATCATCACCTTAGCCAAAGGCAGGTACTTGACCGACTGAGCCACCAAGGTGCCCCCCTTAGACCACTTTTGGTTCAAACATGTTTGTGTGCATCCCCTTTTCTTTCTTCTCCCCTTCTGGGTCTCCAATTGCATGTATGTTAGACCATCTCTATTACACCACAATTCCTAATATTTTGTTCATTTTCTAAAATCCCTTTTGTCTGTCTTCCTTGGTTTAAATCATTTCTATTAACTTATTCTTTCACATCCAGTTGCATCCTAACTGCAAGTGAATATCTCCTCAGAAAGTTTCCTAACACCACACTCATCAGCAGGCACTACCAAGTCTCTTAGTTGGAACTTGAAATTAAATCCATTTGCCATTGGGGGCATCTGGGTGGCTCAGTGGTTGAGCATCTGCCTTTGGCTCAGGTAGTGATCCGGGGGTCCTAGGATTGAGTCCCGCATCAGGCTCCCCACAAGAAGCCTGCTTCTCCCTCTGGTATGTCTTTGTGTCTCTCTGAGTGCCTCTCATGAATAAATAAATAAAATCTTTAAATAAAATCCATTTGCTATCTCAGACACTTGTCTTATAATTGTGACTACAACTCAGAATATTTCTTAGGCACTGGCGTCAATAGGTACTAAAAACTTCTCAAATTATGTGATATCAGAGATAGCTGATTTTTATTTGCATATGCCCAATCTCACTGAAAAAATGTAAAATATTAATATAGTAGTAATAAAAGCTCCCATTTATCAAAATTATGGATCAGGCACTATATAAGTTTCTTTACATATTTTAAAATTTATATAATCTTTATAATAATCTTGTTTTAGTATCATTACAGCCACTTTTTTACAGATGAGAAATTTTTTAATAGATTTCAACTAACTTTCTTAAGGCCACCCAGACCTCAGATATTAACTGCAGTCTATTTTAACCATCATGATGTTCTAGCTTCTAAAAATTTAGGAGACATGGTGATGATTTTCCAGATCATTTCTTCAGGGCTTACACACTCATCCTCCAGCTGCTAAAGCAATCAGCTACTAGTCACTCATTATTGCCTCTTTCTCTGGGTACTGTCTTGCCCAGGGTTCTTCCCCTCGGGGAGTGGCCAAGGACCAATGACTACCTCCTTGCCTTAATCCACGCCATCTCTGAAGGGCTACCCAGCTCCACAGCTCCTCATAAGATTGACTGAGGCCTCAGCTCAACCACATTCCTAGTTAATTTTTCCTTCTGCCGAGTCTTGATTTTTTTCTCTGACTTGTAAGTATATCTCCTAAGAACACCCCTCCCACAACCCAAAAAAGCATCTGTTATGGACTGAATGTTTGTGTTTTTCCAAAATTCATATGTTGAAGGCTTAACCCCCAATGTGATGGTATCTGGAGATTGGGTCTTTGGGAGGTAATTAGATCTAGATACAGTCATGAAGGAGGAACCCTCATGCTGGGATTAGTGCCCTTATAAGGTGAGACATCAGAAAGGGTTCTCTCTCTCTCTCTCTCTCTCTCTCTCTCTCTCTCTCTTTCCTTCTCTTTCCCCATGAAAGGACATAGTGGGAAGGCAGCCATCCGCAAGCCAGGAAGAAAGCTCTCACCAGAACCCGATTGTGCTGTCACCCTAATCTCAAATCTCCAGCCTCCAGAACTGTGAGAAAATAAATTTCTGTTGTTTAAGCCACCGAGTCTATGGTATTTCGGTATGGCAGCCCGAGATGACTAATATAGGTCTGTTTTCAGACAGCACTATCTAGGATATACCCACTTGATATCATAAATCTTGCTCTTCTAAGTAGAATAAACTATTAAAAATAGTATAAAAAGTAATTATACCTTATATGTCATAAAATATCAATTTAAAGTAATAAAGAAGTCTTTCTTAGCCATTTTATAATAACATGGGTTAACTTCCTTGTCCCATACCCTGTCCTCTTGCTCTTTTTTTTAAAAAAATTACCCTTTTATTAAAAAAAACTTATGATGTAATATTTTGCGTGTACAAAATAAACTACATAACATGTATTTAAATTGTAAAGCAAAATAATAATATAAATAACTATTGGGATGCCTGGGTGGCTCAGTGGTTGAACATCTGCCTTTGGCTCAGAATGTGATCCTGTGGTCCTGGGATCGAGTTCCACATCGGGATCCCTGCATGGAGCCTGCTTCTCCCTCTGCCTGTGTCTCTGCCTCTCTCTCTTTGTCTCTCGTGAATAAATAAATAAAATCTTTTTAAAAGTAATAAAGTAAAATAAACAGCTGTTAATCTGTTATCCACCCTCAGGATTTTGATATTACCAATATCATTGAAGATAACTTTTTTTTTTCCTTCCTGATCCTACTGCCTTGTCTCTTTCTTGTCTAGATAGAGTTAGCTACTATCTTGAGGCTTGGGTTTACTTGTAGTCTTTCTATAGTTTCACACACACACACACACACACACACACAAAATTTTTTGTTTTTGAAGTTCATAAAAGTGACGTATCACACTGTACTAATTGCTATCACCATGGCCTCACTAGAATGTAGGCTCTATGAGAACAAGGACATTCATCTGTTTTGTTCACTGATATATCACAAGTGGACACAACAGGGCCTGGCACATGGTAGGAATTCAACAAGTATTTGTTAGCTGAACAAAGGAAAATCTGACTCTTCTGAATCATTTCTATTCTTCCCTTTCTATCTGAAGTTTGACAGTTAAGTTTAGTTGTTTAACTGATTGGGTGCTGATTGTCAGATGCTCTTTTTAGTAGCTTACTATCCTCCCTAATATAGATGTTTCAGTGGCCTGTGTGTGAAATAAGTTGTTGTAAATAAACCTACTTCAATTAGTGTGATTTTTCTTCCTGCTTATCTCTGCTGTTTCATTATAATTAGCCCAAGCCAGAAATAATTCTTCACTACAATGAATTTTGCCATAGTCACTGAAGTTTCCAGGATAAGACAACAATGTGGATTTCCTCCCTTCTGCTGCTAAATCTCAGATTCTCT